TAGATAAGATATATATTTATATATTAATATTTCATAACAGATTTTCCCAATGGGAGCCCTTCAAGATATTATTATTTTTACAAGTCTCAGCAGTCCTGCCTGTTTCAGTGAGAATTAGTTGTGGTTTTAATAAGTGATCCTTGAAACACACAAGAGGAAATTCCTCTGAATACCGTTCTTTCGCTACCTACACAAAGAGAAAAATCTACCATCTAGTAAATTATGCATCTGAATTAATCAACCTAATAACTACTGTTTTTTTCAAGTCAGACAGGAATAAGACTAGTGCATCTGTCATATGGATCAGGGAGAATAATCAGAAATCTTAAAAAACATAAGGTCGAGTCACTGCTAATATTCTGAAGGGCTCAGTTCATCCCATAACACACAGCTTTTACAACTACCAGCCATTTATATGTCACAATCATCAGAGCAGTCCCACTGGGCCAGGTCAAAGGTAGCTCTTGCCCAGAACCCTGGCTCCTGTGGGAACAAGGTTAACATGAGCCTATTCCTGAACCCCCAAACCTTCCTTGACAGGAAAAAAGGGAAACACGCATTGTCTGCACGTCTTGGTGGATGCTTGATAAGATGAACTAGCATTTTGCAGATCAAAGTTACGGATGAAGAGGAGGGACATATGAGATAATTAATGCTTTTTTGTATCTGGAAGTAAATGTGCTCTTCTTCAGAAATAAAACCTGAACAAAAACCAGTCGCCAGCAGCAAGTGTCCGAGACAGGGAGAACAAAGCAAACTACGACCCTTCTCTGGTGGAGCAACCTACAGACAGAAGTTGCTCTATCATCGGCAAGTGCCAAGAAGTACTCAGGAATCTTACGCGTCTTTGTAAGCTTCTGTTTGGATGGCAGCTAGAACAGCACTGTGGAGATGATGAGGCTCTGGTGTCACACAGAAATACAAATCTGAATCCACCAAAAGCATCCAGACACACTTTTTGTTCTGCAGCCTACATTAGTTATCAAGATGAGTGAAAAGCTTCATTGTGATATTTTAAAGTCAACTAGAGTTATGCACCCAATTACAGTAGGGTCACATTGTTTCTCTTTGCTTTTTGGTTTGGTTTTGGGGTTTTTTTTTGTTTTGTTTTTAATTCCACCATCTTCTATCCTTTTCAGTCTTTCAGTCTTTTTTAGAGGACCATCAAACCATCTTTTTCAAGCTAGGTAGTCTGGAAGCTAAAGAAAGAAAGATTTTAGCTAGAAATTCTTCTGCCAACTGATCTAGGACAAATGAAGTAATTTAATTTTCAGATTTTGCATGAAGTGGGTTGGTTTCAATATACAAATCTAATTCACTCAATTGCAGTTATGAAAAGCATTTCTAGGGCCATATTCTGTATTCTCTTTTCTGATGAACACTACCCAGCGAATACTACTTAGAGTGCTTGAGGAGTAAGGTAAGCAAGGCTGGCAGAGTCTGAGCTTTTATTTACTCTGTGTTATCTCTGTCCAAATGTTCAAAGCAATATGGGTGGTGACTGATTCACTAGTTAAATTCAAAACAGCATGTGTGTACAAAAGGCTGCCAAGTTTCTCATGTATATTGCTATTTGTGAGAATCCATCCACAGACAAAAAACAATCAAGCAGTTTCTTAATTTCATTTTATATCTTTATTCCCATTGTAAGTATTAACAGTCAGCCAAAAGACCATTTAAATTTGGTTTGGATACACAATAGAATTAATCACAGTCCAGTTAAAACAGCATGTGTGTACAAAAGGCTGCCAAGTTTCTCATGTATATTGCTATTTGTGAGAATCCATCCACAGACAAAAAACAATCAAGCAGTTTCTTAATTTCATTTTATATCTTTATTCCCATTGTAAGTATTAACAGTCAGCCAAAAGACCATTTAAATTTGGTTTGGATACACAATAGAATTAATCACAGTCCAGTTCCTTTTTTTTTTTTTTTTTACTGCAGTTCTAGTATTTCATGATCTGGTTTAGTAGTCCTGTTGTTGGTGTACTTGCTTCCAGCAAAACAGATTTTTCAGTGTTTGTAGATTATTTAAGAAGATTGTTAAAGATAAAGAAATCCATAATGCTGTTATTAACAGTACATTAATAAAGCTTATTATCTTCCACTTATGATTAGTACTAAGTATGTTTGGTGACCTGAAACTTACTTTTTGTTGTGCATTATCTGTTCTCTTTTCAAAATAAGTCCATAAACAACCATAATGTAATTTTTCATTACAGCTCTTCATTGCAGTAACATTTTTAATTGGATTGAAATCCTTTTAAGAGAATGAGGTAAGTAAAGCAACCCTACATAGTAAAAGGTTCTGTTCAAGCAAATGATGTTACACACAATCCAATGCTAAGGCAGTATCACAATGTATAAATTAGATTGGATGGAAAACATAAAGGATTTTCTAAATTCATTTGCTTATTATTATGTGGGGAAAACACATCACAGATTGTATTTCAGCCTTCAAGTGAAGAGTCACAAAATACAAAGAGACATCTTTCATCATGTCTTTTAAAAGCCTGTGAGACAAATTCCTTCATCAAATTCATTAATGTAAATCTGAATTCAGAAAACTTATTTGTGAAAGCTGCCCTGTTAAATTATGAATACCAATAATAAATTCTTTAGTTCCTCATTTATTTGCATACTTTGCATATGAACAGGCATGAATATATATATATGAATAAAATACGCCTATTGTATAGCCATACACAGAGCTAATATGAATGCTTATGTTGTACATTGTCAGAAGAGGACAAATTATTAATCAAAGCAGAGAGGAGAGAGAAGCGAAGAAGAAAGCAGATGATGCATGAGAACTTTGTTATTTGTCTTAAGATGACTTCTGTGTGGAAGAAAATGTGTGCTTTTGATCTAGAACAGTCAGCTAACAACTCTTTATTTTATCGTGTAATAGAAGGAAGTTTGGGATCAACATCAGCTTCTAAAAGAGATTTAAAACAGAGATGTAGATAGTCAGGTGAAGGGAGAAAGGAAGGGGAAGGGGACCAAGCCCAGATCATGCTATCCTAAGTTTTGCCTGAGCACCAGAGGGAGTGGAACATGGTGGGAGTAAGGGGAGGAATGCTGGTTTCAGAGGGAAACTTGCTGAACTGATAATGCTCTTGCTCAGGACAGACTGAATGGGGGGCTCATTGGACACTTCTGGTGGGGATACTTCTCTAAGACCTTATTCCCATCACAGCAGGTACGTAAGACATTAACCTAGCCCCTTCACAACTTGCAGGAAAGCTGGAATTCCTGAGTCTGATGCACAGGGAGGGACAGGTGTTTTCAGGGACTGTCCTCCTCTTGTACTGCTCTTAGTGGTTGTGATACCTGGAGATACTCCACATAATAACTGTTCACCATTTTACCTTCCTGTCCCAACTTTCCACAGTTGAGTATCAATGTGGCATATATTTGAACTCGTAACACTCAGTCCTCTTCACTGCTATTTTAATACATACCTATGCTAACCAGCAAGAGATGGACATTGTATTCTTGTAGATGAGCTAACAGATTCTTCCTATTTCTCCATTACCTACAGATTGGGTTGTGAAACGTTTTTTTTCGGTCTTAACTCTTCCTTTAAGCATGCATACACACATACACGCACATACGTACACACACGTGCAAACACAAAGAGTATGTGTAGTACAGTACTCAGAGGAGCTATTGGAGCTACTTCAAAATGATGGCACATGGGTACTGGAAGAAGCATAGCACTAAGGAGTGCTACAGCCAGAGCATTCTGCATCTGGAAAACTGGGGTTTAGCACCTTGTTGCCCCCATGCACATCTTGTCTTTGTTTCAAGGTTACCTTCGTTGCATGGAGGACGGGGACCTGACCCTTCAAACACTGCCTGCAACGTGCACTTCTGTTGATGTCAGGAAGGCTACAAGGTATAATGAACTCTACATTCACTAATAGGTATAGCAGCAATTTTAAAATAATTTCATATAAAGAACAAGAGTTGTGCTCTAGGATTATTTTATCTTAAACCCAATTTCATTCATGCAGTCCTAGAGTATAATACACATGCACGGTTAACGACTGAATGCTTTGGTGTCCTCTGTGCGCCTTTTTAAATGATCAGTACCTCAACAACAACAGTTCAGTATCATTCCTCACAGTATGTACCCAGTGTATCTCAGAATTATTTGCATTTCATTTTACACTTTATACATAATATCAGACTTGCATTTTAGGTATCAAAAATATGTTGTTAAAAGATTTTAATAGTAAGTGTCATAAATCCAGAGTGTTCATCAAAGGGTAAAATGATTCAAGACCTCTGGTGAATGGACGATGAAAAAGAAACACTTCCAAAAGCTACACATGATTTATGGTCTTATGCTACCAACAGCTGCCCAATCAGCTCTGGGTTTCTGTCCTTTATAAATGCCATGATAAGAGCAGCAGCAGAATTTACTGTCTCCTGAAGCAGCAAATGGTCCTGAGGAAAAAAAAAAGGAGCAGGGGAAACAATATATTAACAAAAGTGGAAAAAATAAATATTTAAAATCAATTTTCAAGTATGCATAATTACCACATGATTGTTGGAAAAAATAAAAATATTTATTCACACTTACTAGAAGAACTTCTAAAACTTATATTTTAAGGAAACACAGTTTCATAATAATATCCATTTTCCAATTTCCATGATGATTTAAAAAGCAAAATTATTTTTTAAAAAGGAATATATTTTAACTGCTAGAATTAATGCCATCTATCCAGAGACCACCAAAACAGAAGCTTGATTCTGTCACTTGCTTCCTAAATGATTTTTAAAATTTAAAAGGTAGTCAAAATTTTGGGTTTGAAAACATTGGAACAAAATTGAGGATTTAATTGAGTAGTATAGTTAAAGACCTATAACTTAAGCACCTAGTGAATCCCATCTGTAGTCTACAAACTACTTTTAAACTCACAAAGGCACTGGGACTTCAGTGGTTTAGGCTGATCTTTGTAGCAAATAACTTTAAAAAGTAGTCTGGTTTTGACAGGCAAGTATGAGACCAACACAGGAAGAAGTAATAAAATAAGACTTTGATTCTGTGCTTCTAGCTGAGCATTCCAGCTCACAGTTGAAAGAGTCCTTTGTCTAATTTCCAAGTTTTCTTAATTGTATTGACTATAAAAGGTTGGCCTCTTGCTACCAGTAACATTTTCATTTGCGCACTGGGAAAATATCAACAGGTGTAACCAAGCATAGACACATCCCCGGAGAGAGAAATAGGAGGGAACAGTTTCTGTGAAGCAACAGATAAAAAGAAAGGTCTACAAAACTCTCGGGAGAGTCTAGAAGAGTTTCAAATACAGAAGGGGAGCTACAAAGAGAAAGCAAGAGCTGTTCTCCGTATCCACAATGGATAAAACTGGAAGGAATAGGCTTGAGGGAACTTAAGCTGGGATATAAGAAGTCAGGAAAGTGTTTTAACAGTAAGGATTGGTATACAATGGAACAGATTATTGGACAGATCAAGGAAACTCCATCATTAGGGTCATGTAACATGAGACCTGCATACATGTAAAATAAGATGCAGGTACAGCTTCCTGCCTGGGGCAGGCAGATGGAGCAGTTTGATTCTGTATCTTTTCACTACTACTTTTCTAAGATGCTCCATCAAGGAATAATTTGTAGATGACACATAATTTGTAAGACACTTGTATTAATGGAGAAAGAGGAAATGGTTTCAACAACTTACACAAAAACACAATGGTAATCACTGCTTTTTAAGGAATAAGGCTACTGCTGAGGGGACCTACCTGTTCAACTGGTACACAGTGGAACTGGAGACTAAGAAGTTGGGGTTGAAAGAAAAATTGATAGGGGAAAGGTATCCCTGGAACACTCTAAAATATGTAGCATTATGTTTTATAATGTTCTTATTAACTTTTTGCTTTATGTAAATGACAGGAAAAATGCTAGAGAGGTAAATGAATAGAATTAGAAATAGCTAGTTTATACCTGATTCTTTTATCATTCCTGGGAAAATGATATTTGCATGTGACTAGATTTTTGTCCTAAAAATGATCAAATAAGTAAGCTGTTACAATTTGTAAACCCCAAAAGATTACACTCCTCACAAATTCATGTTATATATTCCAATATGCAGTAAAATTATTTCCTAGTGGTCTAAAAAATTGTCTTAGAGTAAAAATGTTCACCACAGCTGTGTCTTACTGTTTACTGAGTGACACCTCCCATTCAGTTAAGCAAAGAGTGCAGACGTGTACTCAGGTCCTGCTCCTCCAGTACCTTTTTTCATGGACCAAGGGTGCAAAGAGGAACTCAGAATCCACTACTCCAATGTAGTAGGGGTTTCACTCCCTCATTTCCCATGGGTATAAATTGCTGTATAATGTACAAGGAGAGCGGAAGTCATGTGCATACACCCACTCAGATGGCAAACACTGCAGTCGCTTTCAAGATCTAGCAACACATTTCTTGATATTGAGCAGTGCCAATCTCTTTGCACCCCTCATCACTTTTTGTTCAGTTTGTCTCCAGAAGCACTTCACAATTACAGACACTGTTTTCCAGTTGGGCTTCCAGCCATATCTGAAGTTGGCTGGAGGTGTATTTTTTTTTTTTCCTATTTCACAAAACAAGAAAAAAATACACCTGGCCAGGAATGCTCTTAACATTTCTCCCAATAAATCTTTCCACATCCTCTGTTGGTTACTGGATTCAGTACACATTCCTTTGCAGTAATAAATTATTTCAGTTTTTGAACATAAAAGGAAGCAAGAGAAAGAAATTTAACTTTCACAGGAGAGATTGAAAGTGACACCGTAAGATTCCTTTAGACTGAAAAAAGCTTTTTCTAAAGCTAAACCTAAGGCTTTAATGCTAATTTCCACGTTCCGAACGGAAGACATGCAAAAAATTATGAGTAGAATTTGTAACGCAGGCAATGTGGCACAGTAATGTGTACAGAAACCTGCATGCAGAAGTGCTCTATAAACCACACTGAAATTGACTGATGAATTGCAATTTGTTCAAAAAGAGGAACACAAAAAGTAAGCAGCACAAGTTAAAATGCATTTGCAAGTTTTACAGTTACTTCACTTGCAATAATCTGATTATTAATACTATTATTACAACTATTCAGAAAACCTACTGGTTACTGTCTTTCTTTGAATCGATCAATACAACGGCAGGAACAATGAATTGTCAGACAGGATCGGCCCCTGTGCAGGACTGGTCCCTGTAAGTCTGTTTTTTGGAAATAACCAGAAGTGTATTCTTTAATGAATACACATTATCTTATTTAACATAACAAACGTAATAGAAAAGATATTCTTAACTTTATGCAGTTACAGTTGATGGTTAAATGACATCATGAAGCATGTACTGAAGCTTTCAACAACATGAAGCATGTACTGAAGCTTTCAACGAGGCAATCCTTTAAAGTACTTATCATTAGGGGTTACTGATTTTTAGATTTATGCTGTGCTCCTTCCCGGTAACTCTGTCCGAGTCTGATCTCAGGGTCACCCATTCACTGAACAGTGTCCAGCACCTTGGCCTACGAGCCAGCCTCTGAGTGCAGGAGAAATCAGTGCCATGAAGGTCAAGTATGTGCCAATTTTAACTTGCTTTATTCTCACAGCCACAGTCTTACTGGAAAGAGGTAGTAAATAATGCAAAAAAACTGGACTCTTCCGGGAATTTCAAAATCGTTGTATATCCTGTATCTTTCTGAGAATCAAAACTCGCTCTCATGCTAGGAATCATTATTGTAGCATCTGACGGTCATAGCCTCTGCATAATGTATAACTTTTGTTGACCATTTCTAGTCCTTATTATCAAGAAAAAGAGAACAGAAATTTTAGCAACTGAATGAGAACACCTTGTTCCAACTGTAGGCATAATGCTGACTGACGGAATAGTTAAGTTATATATTAAGTATTCTTTCCTCTTCTCTGAATCCTGTTGGGAATTTATTTCATTTTAGGCCATTACTGTGCATGTAAGCGGATATTTTCAATGTGCCACAATGATACTTCGCTTTTTCCTAAGTAGTTATAGGTAATTTGGATGCCAGCAGTGTTTATGAAGAATACTAGAAAGAATTTAAATAACAGAATTCAACAACAACCCCAGAAAGAAAAAGAATCTTGCGGGTCTTTATTAATTTAAAGTTAAACAAATAAGTGACCACATCAAGTCCCCTGGCGATACCCTTAAAACACCCATGTTTCTGACACTGCAATGTTATTTCTGGCAACAGTGCTGATTACAGCTGATAGTGCCTACAGGGAGTCTTCAATAAGGATGCCAGGACAAATTTAATCTACCACACCTAACTCCACTGCACATACAGGCCTCCGATCTTCTTTTATATTCAACAGCATAGCACTAAATCTTTCAAAAATCTCATTATTAGTTGCAGGAAGTCAAATAATCAAGCAGAACCAGGTCTTCACATGTCTAATTGCCTGATGTGTTTGCATATATTGTAACCATGATAAAAAACAGGATGTAAGAACAGAACGATCAATACAAATCCTCATGTAGCCCACAGGAGCTCCCGCACGTTATTGCCCACCCACTGCTCAGCGTTGCAGATTCCAAGCAGAGAACACACTTCAGCACGCTAGTCAGTGAGCGCACATCCGTGCACACGCTGGAGGGACCAAACACGAATAGCTCGTTCCCTCATCAACAAAATCCTTAAAAAAGACTGTGACCTTTAAATAAGACTCGGAGGCAGTAACGACTTTAATGGATTAATGACTGAAGTTCCACATGATCAACTGGTGTGCCATGATTCCCTCTAAACCATTGTGATATTCACTGTCTATTCATTTCATCCAGTTCACTTAAATGAGTCTCTTGTAAAAAATAAAACCCAAAACCCCCTAACATTTCTTGGCCATTAATAAATAGAATTTTTTATTGTTTGAACAGATGATTAACTACATTTATAAGCTAAAAACAAAACTTTTACCACTTTATATTTATGTACTTTGGAAAAGAAAGTACTCAGAAACACTGCCAACCTTATAAACCATAAATCCACATAACAGCACTTTGATTCCAAAATAAAATATCCACTTTGTCTGTTATTAAATAGTAAAAATATTCCAACATAACCATATTGTGTGATGGTTGTAACTCATACTCAGAATTTATTTGATGTAGAGTTACTGACTGTAGGGGTTTTCTGGTCTGCAGAATAAGACTGGGAATGGATACAGGGACAGAGTTAAAAGTTGTGTTTGGAATATGCAATCTGATATTTTACAAATGTGCATTTATTTAAGAAACTGTGAGGATATCTGAATATTTACTGAAATTCCCCTAACAATTCATTTCCTTGCTTCAATTGGTTTAGGATTTTTTTTTTCCCCCCCTCAGCTGGAACTTCACATACATACATTTCAATTTACATATGTACTACTTCAGTTTAAGTATAGCTTGAAAAACACATACTACCCTTTTTA